TATATACATATATTTTATTAGCTTTTAGTCGGTAAATACCATAATATTATAGGCGGGTGATGTATTGTGTTCTGAATGAAATACTATCTACCTACCGGCCGAAGCTACAATAATGTCCGTGTTTGATAAAATTCAATTACCTATGATTAATATTATTATRTCATCATATCATGTTATAGCCTACGAAATCTAAAATAAATCTTATACGCCACTTGTATGACGCTCATGACACGTATCAACGTACAAAATAATTGTCCTAAAAAAGATTTATTTAAACGCGAAATAGCATAAAACCAATAGGTAGCTTAAAACGTTCAATATAAACTTAAATCAACAACTTCGTCTTAGATTAAATTTCTGTTGTGATCTTCATTAGATATATTAAAAATAGGTATATATTACGATATACATTTACACAATACAAATAACGGTATTATCGATTTCAAGAGAAAACTTTATTCGGTCTTCCATGCAGTTAAGTCTCCTATGCATTACTCCGTTTAATTAAAATAACAAAAGACGACTGTCCTGTAAAAACTAATTTCATTTCAAATGTTTTCCGTACGTTCTTACAGCGTTTCTTCCCTTCGTAATGTCTTATAGACCATTCGGATTAAATCATCACGAAATGATGGGAAAATCCAATCCACTATAAATTGAGTAGGTATACGACCTACTATACAAATAAAATCAAAAAAATTATATAGGTACGTTATCAATACAGTAAATAACATTTATACACATCAAGTAAAAATCATTTGATGCCTAAAATTAGTTGAACTCAAAATATATTTAAAAGTGGATGAGATTGTATTATACATTGTAATTATTATACATCGTTATTATATGCTTCGTTAGTTTCTTACATTTTGAACTATGCATTGTCTTGTTTTGTTAAATTAAAATTTTTGTTTAGATTACCAGTTATACCGTAATATTAAGATTTTTTTTATGAATAGATGTTAATATTTCGATTTTTTTTTTGAATCCGGTTCCGAGGCACATTTTCCCAGTTTTTCCGTTTGCGAAAGTCGTTCTGTCAGTATATGAGTATCAAACCAATGAAGTTTATTTCACTAGCTACACAGATTGATCGTTCTTTTGATTTGATTATTTATCATGTATGTTAGCATTTTTTTTTTTAAACAAGAGAGTGCTCTAAAACGTCCATATTATGTCCGTTGTACCTATATTATTATTTTTTATATGCATCGAATATTCTGTAAATGTTTAATATTTAATTAGACAGTCTACTTTTAGTTTTATTTCAAAATTACACAATATAGCTAATAAATTAGTAAGTATCTACGATTTCTACCTATTTCTGTCACTTTGTTGTTAATTAAAAAAAAATACTGAGTAGTTCTTATCAACATTTCTATCGATCGTATCCATCATATCAAAATATAAATTACTAAACATGCTTATTAATATATATTTAATTAATCATTATGGTATACTTAATAGTTATTCATTTTTAATCYCATTACAGAGTTTTATTCGTCATAAATTATTTTATTTAAATTGTACAGTAATGCAAGTTGAGCGAATTAAATAATAGCTATTATGTACATTCTAACCTAATAAATAATAGACATAAATTAATAAACTTTTACTAATTATGAAAAACAAATAATTGTCATGCGTTACTTATGTGCCATTAAGATGCGGTATACCTAGGTATTATCCATCTCATTCTATGCAATGAACGAAATATTAAATGATCATTTCACTTGCTTGAGCAGTGTATCATAATAGTAATTATCGCCACGCAAAAAGATTCTTCCACGTGCGAGCACCGAAATAGATACATACAATTTAAATCTATTTTACATATTATACAGAAATATAATGTGATTTCGATCTCTCTATAAAATAATTTTATGTTTATTGTTATYGTGAATTCGTGACGTAAAAATTCATATTCACACTTATTGTCGTTTAATACCTATACGTAGTATACGTACATGTCGTACAATYATTATTACGAATTATTCACGAATATTGCAGTTAACAAGGTATTTCCTTTCTGACTATTTAAAGGATCATAAATATGAATTTATAAAGAGTATGATAATAATATAATAATATATATATATATATTACTTGGCCTATATATAATATTCTGTTGTAACTAATAATAAAAATTATATTTCGGTTTAATGATTTTTTAAATTTGTTACACGCCTTCACTGTATAATATTACTATCAGTTATCGAAATCGAAAAGCTACATAGTATATTATTGTAATTATACCACCTTACCTATTATAAAAATTATCATGTATACGTAAGACACGAAAATGAATAATATTTGAAACGGAAAAATTAATCAAAAMTTGGCTTAAAAATTCACCTTTGTTATGAGATTGTAAGTGATGGTATGTATACCGTTAGATGTGCGCATAGCATCTGGTGGGAGGCTGTGGGCGAAAGTTTCATTGATTTTTTCCCGAGCTTCTGGTGGAACGGTAGTTATGTCCACGTGGATTATCACATTGGAGAAAATCGCGCACGCAGTTTTTACGCACTTCCGAAATGGAATATTTTTAAACAAATGATGTACTATTCAGGCCTTCAGGGTCAAGTACGGATTTAAAAATGAAAAAAAAACATTTCGCAGTCTAATAAATGAAGGAAACTACCTATGCAGTACATGCACATACAAGTATATGATACCATTGTATGTTATTCTAAAAACATATATTATTTCAAAATTTAGGACAATTTTCCAAATTTTGTATCGTAAATTATATGCGTTTTGTATCTAAAATGATTCAATTTTCTGGACATTTTTCTTAGAAATGTCTGAAAAATTAAATTCTAATATATATGTATCATCTAATTACCAGCTATTGCCTATATATTAAAGTTAAAGCTAAACTAATTTCAATAACTATATCTTGGTTTAAGTTGTACTAAGTTCACATATTTCGGACTATGTCTTTTAGAAGTGACATGTAATAGATCAACCTATTTAAAACAATTAGATTCAATCCAGTAGCTGCAAGTTTCTAACATGACTATACGGTTTTTTTATTTTCAATTTATTTATTTTCGTATCTGCAGATTTAAGTTGTTGTTCGATGACGTTTAAAGTTTTAAAAAATTTCTTTTTAATTTTTTACCATGTACGGTATAGATTTCGAATACGGTCAGTGTGAATTCTGCCGCCATTTCGTTTAGCTGTTTCAACTAAACTACGAAAAAAAACGTGAAAGTAAAACATAGCTATAAAATCATTTTATTTTTCGAAGATTTAAAGCGGTTAAAAGAAATACATCCGGCAAAAGAAATAAGAGTTCAGATTTGAAAACAGCATAACAAATACAATGTACCTACAATATGCGCAATAGGCTTACAGCAACAACGAATATTTACATTTTTTATATAATAATATACATATTAGTTTGATTTTTTTTAGTATTCAGTCGTTGCACATTTAAAATAATTATTTTGTTTTTACGGATTTTAATGTCGATGACTACTTTAAATGTCTGCCTCGATGATCCAATCTCGTACAAGCATTATCTCTTTTTATGTTTAACCTTGCTGTCTTTTAATTTCCCATCATCGTCAATATGTTTTTAATTTTTTATATTTGTCCTATTTTTTTTTTTTTTAATGTCAGTCCATTGGCCAATTCGGTGAACAGATTTGTTAGAAATGAGAGGGCAAATTATAAAATTTATAAGCAATGCCATAAATAATTGCATAAAAAAAAAGTACACTACAATTCATTATGAAATTCACGTAATACAATAAACTCACCTCAGATAAAAAAAATAGTCACTTATTATTATATTTTTTTTAAATTGAGATAACATCATAAGTACAATAAATCATCCTCAGAACAGTCAAATCAAAATTCTCGAAATTATTGAAAATAGCTGGAAAATAATTTATACACAGTAACAACAAAATACTCAGTTTATAAGAAAATATATGATTTCATATTCGAAAACTACAGAAACTAATTTCCGTAAAATTAGAGCTAATAATATTTTCATTTTTTGAGCATGTGCAAAATTGCATCCCAATCGGTATACGAGTATTCTCCTTCCAATTTTATCAGACTTAGGAAGTTGGGACTGTCTGCAATATTACCTACTACTATAATATTGGTATATAATGATTCAAAATAATGGTTTTATTATCAATACTTATATTATAATATAATATTTTTAACTCGAAATAAACTGTAAAAAACATTTTTAACCATACCTGTGACCTAAATAGATTATAGACAGTCCTATATACATTTTCCTTCCCATTTTAACGGACTTATATATAAGTCCGTTAAAATGGGAAGGAAAATGTTAATATAGTGTAATAGTACTTACCAAAAAATATTCAAGAATTATAATGTTGTAGCTAAAATAATTCAGGACCCAACTAGTSTGGTAACTATAAAAATCCGGGACCGAACTAGTGTAGTACCTATTAAAACCCGGGACCGAACTAGTGTAGTACCTATAAAAATCCGGGACCCAACTAGTATAGTACCTACAAAAATCAGGGACCCAACTAGTGTAGTACCTGCGATTAGCCCCTAGTACTCGGGACCCAACTCGGATGCGCCGAATAATATAGGTAATAAAAATATATGTTTAGTATACAACATATACCATACGTTATAATATGTTTTATGAATTATTAATAATCGATAATTATTTAAATCTTCCGTTTCAACGCGATTAACGTATTATAATTTATAATACATATGACAGGAACGCGCAAGTTATACGCGCAACAATATGTATAGGTTAGGTTAGGTTGCATTCACACGTTGTGTTGCATTCATCSGGACGCAACACTTATCACATTCACCGCTAAAGGGCCAGATTTAGGTGAGGGCTGAGTGGGCTGCAGCCCAGGGGCCCCCACAAATTCAGGGCCCCACCAATGTTATGATAGGTATTTAAATTAGGATACAGAAAAAATATTTTATTTATACATTAAACACTCATATTTACACGTCAWATGTAATTAAATAATATTGAACATTATTTGGACATTTAAAAAATTTAATTTTGCTAACTATAATAATAGATGTATTCGCGTTTATTGACAATGAACGGTGTCTAGATAAGATAGGGTTTTATGCCATCCGTAATTGGTGTTGATTTTTAAAACGTTATTGATAAGTTTGTACAAATGAAATTAATAAAAGTTCCAGCCATTTAATTTTAATTACCTGACATTATTATTTTTATTAGTCTTTATTTAACTATACTTACATCTAATATTATGATGATATTACTTATGCTATAGTTATACTTGATTTGATTGTTTTTATAATTATTTATCATTAAATAAATAGTTAAATTATTATTACAATAGTAGTATACTAAATATGATAATAAATGTTATTTAATTTGTAAAAAAATATATTTTCTTATTTATGTGTAAGGGGCCCCACAATGCATTCCGGCCAGGGGCCACCACACACCTAAATCCGACCCTGCACCGCAATACGCATATATAGGGAATAGACATATACTATTTGGTACGTATAATTCGATCACCGACCGTAATARTATATAATTAATTACCTATGCAGCAAGTGGCCAGCAACCGTGTCGATTCTTCGGGCGGATCGCAGTCGGTGTACATTGGTTTCAGCACGTACAGGCTAAACGTGAGGGCGACGATGGCTTGCGAACACGGTCGGACGATCATGCACTCCACCCACAGTCGCATGAAAGCTATAAACGGGCCAAACGTCTCCATTATGTACGCGTAGTCGGCTCCGGATTTGGATATCATGCATCCCAGTTCCGCGTAACAGTAGGCGCCCACCTGTGGAATCAATAATAACATTATATAATACAATATATAGGTGTATAATATATACATAGTTATAACGGGTAAAGCTGCTGTGACCACGACGACGACCCGACAAAGTATATTATAATAAGGCGATAATGGGTGGTACATATATACAGTTAAGTGGCTGTGGTCGGACAAACGATATACGCGCCTGATATAACCGTTATAAATATATTATTTTAATGAATCTGCAACCACTAATTATTATATTAGGTGCTTTAAACGCGATAATCGGTGGTTCGCGATTGATCCGTCATTAAGTTCTAGTGAACGCGCTTCAAATCGATCAATTTTGAACTACGCAACTTGACATATTCATACGTAGACTGTATATGTATATACCTATACATATTATACCTAATACCCGTAAGTGTATATGTTATAACTTTATAAGTAATGTCGATGCAGTATGCAGTCTCGTCGAATCTAATATAACGTAGCGAAATATTTCCAACAAGCGCAATCAAAATTCTGCATACGTCGATAGATAGGTATATACAACATAATAGCATCGATATCTATTCTATTCTGTAGAGTTTAACTGTTTAAGCACCTGTTGATTTTTCGAGAGGAGAATTTTTTCGAAACAATATATTTGGCAATCGCCTGCAATATTTGGTATACACCACAGTACCACACGGCGTTTCCTAAAACGTTTTTTTTTTTTTAATCCTCGGCGTCTATTATGTCCATAGGCATACAAGGAGTTTTAAGGTTAACAATTTCTTAAAGTACAGTATTCACACAAACAAATTACAGATCATAAACTATAGATAAAATTGGCCTTAATTAAAAAGGTCATTGTGTGACTTTTCCTCAAACTCGTTACTATATTTTGTAAATTTGAAACTTCGTCATCGTCATAGACGATATACTCATATTTCATAGAAAGGACGTGATGGCTTCTCCACCGTTAAATATATTCTGCACTTCAAGTTTGGAAACATATTATATAATGTTTGAACTCTTGTGTACATCGATCACAAACGCCACAATTTCACACTATATTGTGTAGTGGACTTTTGCAATATTGCTCGTTAGATATTGATGGATAACAATATTGTGTCCCTACGGATAACATACGATGTATATCCTCTTAATGCACGCATCATTATGTCAAGTACACATTTTCAAAATCGCCCCAGTTTTGTGGCAGGCGTGCAGTGGATTTGTACATCATTTGGGTAAGTTTAAATAATTTTATGTAGAAAAAAAACTTACACATACTCTCACGTGTATATATTAACGTAGGTACTCTCTGGTTATACTGTTTTGTTTCAAATTTTGACTTAATTATTTGTACTTTGTAGGTAGGTATAGCCTATATCCTACTGCATTAGTAATTARTATCATCTATTGATCGAAATTCAACCATAAAACCGTCTCAATATTCTTGTAAAACAGTAAAACAAACACGCTCTAAAGTATTGAATTTATTTTCTAATCGTCCAAACGAACTTATAAAAAATCTAGCTGCATTAACCATTCCTGGTAACTCTCCTTGTTGCCTTAAGCGAAAATGGTGCAGAGACCTACTAAAACCTTAATCCAAAAATAAAAAATAAAGAATAATTGTATAAAATAATTAAAAGACGAAAGTGTGATCAGTGGATGGTTTCTTCATTGAAAATTTTTAATTTTCCTTTTGTCAATTAGCTAATACTCTTATTGTACCGATTGCATACTGAGATTGTGTACCWATATTATTAATGAAGAAAGAAAAAAAAATGTTTTCTAATCACACACTTCGCAGTCCGGTATCGACGTTTGTTCTTCACCTTTTATTTTCGTACGAAAGTTTAAAATGGAAAAAATAGATAATTCGTGTATTTTAGTGTTGGAGATCTATGTACTAGCTAAGCGAAAATTACGGACATGGYCATATGATCTTAGATCAGTGGCGTGATGGCGTCAAGGGAGGGCACGCGTGGCCATTGCCCTTCTTGAAAAATCCCTGGACCTAGAAATCGTATGAAAATCGAAAATATTCAAATTTATAGGTATATCGAAACCATTTTATAAAATATTTTTCAATGTCTGTTATTATTATATATTATGCAGTATTGCAGTACAAGGATACACTARATTATTTTATTCTATTTTGTAGAAAGTTTAATGCATACATGACGTAGAAGTGTGGAGCAAAGATTTCTCACCTTATTATTGATATTATTATATATTGGCCCTTCAGTAAAATTACGTGTTTCGAGTTGGCCCTACCAGGTATAAAATCTTGGCGTCACCACTGATGATGTACATTTGGTTAAAGATTAATAATAATTTATTATTATTTTGTTTTATCGTATAAATTGCCAATTRGTGAGGTACCCGCTACTCATTTTATATTTTACATCACCCAACTCAACAATATACGTTTCCAGTAATCCAGTGATATAACATCTATTTCTCCATATACTATGTGTATATAGCGAAGTTATATATAGGTACGACAAAAAGATTGCTTTTGTAATGCGCATTAATATATTATTGTATATAATGAACTAATGAAGATATATAAAGATGATAAAGATAAAAATAWAAATATATAAAGCAAGATATTCGCCAACGAGTTGATAGGGATATTATAGTATTTTATTAACATTGCCTACCTTAGACTTTCAGCACGAGTACCATTGTACTAATGTTTAACGACCAAACCTAAGGTCTGGATTAAAAATAAATTGTCCCTATTGTAACGACAACATATATAACATATATATACAATACATATACATTATTATAGCAACGCATTAAACTATATTAATTTAAAATGCAAAACACAACTCGTAGAGCGTTATTGTTGGAACTTTTTTTTATTTTGAAATTTATAATGGCTATGCCTACACCTATATATTATACAGTATATACAAATTATAATATTTTATTTCATTCGTGATTTTCTTATTCCAAACGTGCATGTGATGTCGTTGATTTACGAAAATCGTATAGCGCTTATTACGGTGCAGCCACCTTAAACGAATARTATCTACACTAAATATACAACATATTACTATAATTTATTTCAGATTCAAATGCAGGTATAGATTAATTCTGATGGTGTTGTTAAAATAACAATAATAGTTTGTCAAATTTTTTATCTATATTTCATGGTTATCATGTGCACGTATTTTAAAACAGATGGAATTCAAACTCGTCCAAGATAATAATAATAATAATAATAATAGTCGTAATAGCCAATAGATATTGATATGATTATAGTATGCAAGCAGGTATATACCCACCATAGAAAATACGCCGGACAAGATCCAGACGATCAGAGAAGCGTTCACCGAACCGGTGTTTTCCAACACGCCCGTCGGCGATATGAATATGCCGGAACCGATGATGCTGCCAACGATCACGGTGACGCCGTTCAAAAGGCTCATTTTGGGTTTCAGTTCGATTTTATCGTTTTCGGCAGGGGCCACGTCCGGCTCTACCTCCGATCCGCCTTCCTTCCGCTTCGCGCCCATTTTTCTCGCTCGTTTAATACTGCTCYTTATCGCAGTTGTTGCGGACGACGACTGCACGTGGCTCTGCTGTATATACCCACAGGTTTTGAATCTGAAACGCAAATACGTTTTAATTATACAGCGACGAGCGCGTGTACACCGCGAGATAGGGACCTACTCGTAACGATATGTATGCGCTGATAAACTATTATTTCAATAAGCAAATTAATAAGCGTCTCGTGCAGAGGACGGAGATTTGAGTAAGGGTCCTAAGATATCGCTTACCTAGTTKTAGTTGCGAAACAAGTCGTGGTTGTTATATTATTGTTTAACGACAAAGATTAAAGAACATTTGCACTTTGACAAATGATGTAGAACTGTTTTTTTATTTTTCATATWGGTTTGGTTGTAGAACACAAGTTAAAATTTTACAGGCCTTTAAACAACATACTCGGCTTTGTGATTCAATGCCGTCACTAGGTTTTTGTTTAGTAATTACATAAGTATTTCGAATAAAATGTCAACCTGTATAATGAAATTAGATTGATTCGGTATTTGCCCGTGACGCGCACAGTCTTACAAGTGGGCTGTATGAACAAAGTAAGTATATTTTTCAAAACAATTCCAATATCAACGTTAAATTTTAGACCAGCATTTATTTCGATTTCTTATTTTGAAATATTTTATAATAGGTACCTAATTTATGCGTTAATCAGAATTAAATATATAGGTAATTATTGATATAGAAAAGATAAAACATGGTTTTCATAAAAATACATTAATGATGACGACGTACTGATCAATAATCAATTATAAATTATACATTATATATTCGAATATTGTGAACCATTAGTATACTTTTTAGTTTTTATCTCTTCTTTAACTCTTAGTTCTAGATTAATCGCTGTATTTTATATTTACATATCGGGCAACACTGCCGCTTAAAGAAAAAACGTATGGAATACACTCATGATAATAAGTAAATATAAATATAATATACATATAAAACTTCATTTAAAATATAAATTAACTGACTGCTCATAAATAAATTCAAATTACAAGTACTGTTATTATATTGTGCATAGGCGCTTACAACTAGTGTTTATAAAATTCAAGTAACAGAGTAAAAAATATATTAGTTTAAAATGAATGTAACTTATCACTTATGCTGTACCTACTAAATTAATACATGCATATAAATATTCTTATTTTACATTTGGACAAAAATTATTCACTATTAAATTTTAAATATTTGTATGAAAGTTATAAGAACTAAAAGTTAATTTTTTTTTTTGCTTGCTATTTAGAACCCGTAGGACGTTTTCTTTTATATATTTAAGGTGCACGAGACTACACTATACTACTTTTATGGAAAAGAAGATACTCATTCCTCAGTCGTAAAGCAAATTGTCTATGCCACAAAAATGTCGATATAAAAAATATATAGCTATTTAAAAAAAAACAAACTATATAACTAATCAGGTTCATATAATTAGCATAAAAATAAATATCTAAGAGACTAAGACCGAAGTTACAGTTTTAAATATTATATTGTTGTCTATGCGATGGTTTTTGAACCATAAGTAGAAAACCCAGGCACATGCAATACAGAGTGGCTGGGTGTTCCTAACTTCAGAGAGGGATGAGTGAAAGGGTCAAGGGAGTTTCACTGAAATGTTTAAAAAAAAATTTTTTCTACGTGGTAATGTAAGTTTATTTTAAAAATGTTTTTCTTATGCCCCCTCAAAAAAAAATGTGTGGTAAATTATGTGTATACGTGTGCTATATGCGTGCACTGTGCTTAAATGTAATAATGGTATGGAAAGAATTTTATTAGTATTTTCAATATAACAGTTTTAACCATGATAAATCCACATATAATACCACCAGTCATCCAACATCAAATTGTGGGCTTCTGTACTAAATGTTTTTGGGAGTCCTATACAAAACTTCCAATAAAATAATCTCATACACGATTTCTATAGGAAATCAATGATTAAAATAACAAAATGACTTGATAATATAACATTATAATGTATATTTTTTATGTCATAAAATGTTATTCATTACAAAATAAGTAATTCGATCAAAATTAAGAAAATTTCAAAAATTAATTTTGAATGATCCCTAAAGTAGCCGGGTYYCCGTACTGTAGGTTTGTCCCCCTCCTCTTTGTTGGGACCTTGAGAGCACKATACCCTAAACCGACTAAACCGATTTACAAATATGAACATCGATATAGTTGATAAGTAGCATAGTAGTACGATAAGATATTTAACGAATAAATTCAACAGACTCTCGCAATCAAGCTCAGTGGCGTGATACAGTCCTATGTAATACATTATTATATCGTCTCCGATCGGCGTGGAACATATATCAAATATATAAAGTTTCAYRTTAAGTTTATTGGCCAAGTATTGAAAAACTATAACACTACTGCAATATAGTTGTAGTAGGTATGYATATTGTATAYAGGTACACAGTATAATAAATTCCATTCATGGTATATAAATATAAAATATAATACAAAATAATAATATTAAAAATAATAATATACGTATTTCGCAACTACTTACTATGCCATCGTGAGATAAAAACTAAAAAAATATATATTATAAATATATATAGAAAAAAAAAACAGTGTGCAAAAAATTTGAAGGCGTCGTCTCGTCTWCCGCTCAACGATTCGGTTACTGAGCAACGCTACTATATTCCCGGTCTCTGTCTATCCTGTGACGCCCGACCGCGGTGTTTGCATATGTGTGTGTCTGCGCATGCGCGTGCGCACGCCTGAGCCTTTTCTCTTCATGTGTATGGTGTGTGTGTGTGTGTGTGTGTGTGTGTGTGTGTGTGTGTGCGCGCGCGTCAGGATATTGCCAATTCGCAGGCGCAATCCCTTCAAACTTAATGGCGCGCGATCGGCCGCGACGATGAGTAGCGTTATTTAATTTCATACCGAACAGCCGCAAGAGCGCACACACGCGCACAGCACGACCGTACCTATAAAACAGTGTATTTTATTTCTTTTTTTTATCTGGGGGGAGGAGGTCACTGATATCAATATTTAACGAATTTAACGAACTTTTGTTTTAAGTAATGACAACAATAATTATTAATAAAACACGATAATTATTGTTCAGTTTGTTTAAAGATTTTACTATGAAGTTTTTCAATTATTTTTTTCAATTTTCAKTAGGGATTGAACCTTGATACCCCCCCCCCCCTTATAAGACTATATGTATATGAGTAATAATATAATAGGCACAAATCCGTATATATAGATTATAGGTATATAGGGCGTATCTGTGGAAGATCATACGACTTCATCAATAAATCACAGAATATATAGGTATGTCTTTTGTTGACACTCTGTATTACAGTAAGTAAAATAATATGTTAATTAATTGGAAGAGTTAGTAACCCTAATTCGTGACCAATATAAAATATTGAATGGGAATATTTTAAAGCCATTTTTTTATCGTAATTTATGACGACTAATGTAATTACAATGATAAACACGGACAGTTCAGGACGGCATTAAATCGTCGCCGGGTTATAGGTAAAATCATAAATTACCATAATATTATAAACTGATTTTAATTAATATGACATAGCTATAGGTAATATAGTGATAACATAATCGTGTGACTGTATTATCGCTTTTGAAAAATGTATGGTCGAATGGTCGTTAACATAATAATATATTGTCAACTATATATTATATAGTTGTAAGAAGTATAAATGTTTCCAAACAGCTTGTTCGTGTATATATATATACTGTTTGTATAGGCACATGACACAGGAATGGATGGGGGTTGTCTGGCCGAAAATCTAGTGGCCGAAGGTTTTGTGATCGAAAAAAAGTAATCGAAAAGTCATCAGGTCGAACACATTTTTGATCGAAAAATATAATATCGAAAACTCAAATGATCGAAATGTTATGTAATATTATGGTCGAAAAATATATATTTTGAGTTAAATATTTTTTTTTTTTAAAACACACAAAAGTAAATAATTGAAAATTAACTAAAATATATAGGTATTATATTATGTAAAAAAAAAGTTGTAAAATATTAAAATAATTGGCAGGTATAGATACTAGTATTACCTAGTATTACTTGTAAGTATTAGTATAAATAATATAATATAATAAGTAATTAAAATTTTAAATTTTGAGCTATTCCTCTTAGATACTTTAATAAATCATAACCTGGATCAGCTAATAATACGTATCGTAATGCACGGGGAGGACCGAGGAGAGTGTTACTTGTTATCGAATATTCTCGATTATCGACTGTAGTATTACCCGCGTGTAGTCTAGATAGTAAATATAAATATATAATTATTATTATTATACCATACACTATTATGTGATAATATTATTCTGTGAAAGTTTACTTTAGATGATTATTTGTTTTTAGAAAAAATTAAATATACAATATTTATTTTGTTTATTAAAGAATCTCAGTGGGTCCAATGGCACAGATAATCATTATCTTTACTTCGACCGAAAAACCCATTCGACCACAAAATATTTCGACTATATTAATAAAATATTCAACCATCTGTTTTTCGACCAAAAAACGATTCGATCACATGACATTTCGATCGCTTTTTTTCGATCACTAAACCTTCGACCAAATGACTCGCGCCGCACAGGAATATTTGATTTTCATCTATTTCGTGGCTATACATGACTATATTACATGCCTAGTTACATAGTTTATCAATAATACCAATCGAGAAATACTTAATATTTGAAATATAGTATGTTGTCTATAGTATGTTATCCAGTCGGGTGGTGCTGCTGAGTGCCTGCCTCTAAATGCTAATTTCTGTTATTTCATATTATATTAATTATCAAATTTGCCCATTGTTCATAATGTTGTATAGATTGTAAATTACTTAAATATATAAATAAAAATATCGAAAAAAAACTTGTATATCCAGTAACGTGGCAAACTTGATATTTTTCTGGAGGCTGATTATATTTCACGCGCCCTGGTGCAAAACTAGTTACCAGATTAAATTCACTATCATGTTTATAACTAGCTGTCGTAACCTCGTAACTCATAGTTTACTATAGTTACATAATACTAAAGTATCACCTATTTGCCATTTCTCACTTACYAGTATAGATTACTTATTAGTGATAACGCTGATTAAATAAGATGGGTTAAATTTGAGTTTAACGATAAATAAACTCATATAAATGATATAAACATATAGTTCACTACTTTAGTTTTTAATAATTTTACTAATGTATTCTAACATCTAGTACTTTTTCTACATTCTATAAAATATCAAGTTAGTCTAAAGTTTAGGCTCTAAAAAAACAATAGCTCCACTCCTATATATTAGAAAATAGTCTATAATATATTTTATAATTTTTATCGATACTTAAATAATATTTATACTATTTTTTTAGGGATGAGGGTGATGATCTTTTTTGTAAATTTTTTAAAGACTTACCATTCGTTGGCTATATTTAGATATTTTCGTATTTGATTGTATATTGGATACGTAATATATCCGATATTAGTTAAGTATATGAATTTCGTACACCGAGAGCATGTGGTACTTCGACTGGGGCCGAGAAGTGTTGACTTAGAATTTAGATGGTAGCGGCGGGATATGACTTGCTCTCATCGAACTTTTAACTCTCGATCCTATCGGAGTACCGATTATAGTTGCGATGAGCTAAAATGTTACTTTATGGAAATTTGAACAATACAGTAATGTACCTATTTTGCCTATATAATACGCCGTCCAACACATTCAGTTTGCACGAAATATGGCGTAGGTACGTACAACAATTTATTATATGATATTGTTTATATTRTACAACTATTCAGTATTTAAAACGATATTTTAGCGTTGTATATAACAGTTGATTGGTATTGCATTATATTTTTGATATACTATAATAATAATAATATTAAATTATGTAATAAACTTAAATTTAAATTGGATGTTATCAAGACTCAATGTTAGACCATAGGCGTGCACAGACTTTTGGTTCGGGGATGCATACTATAAATTAGGACCCACAATAATTTTGAAAGCCATTGGTAAAGCAATATATATATATATAAAATGCACTAAAAATAATTTATTTTATTTTATACATTGTAATAAAATAAATATTACATCAAAATATTCTATGAAATTCGATAATATTATCAGCGAACTGAGTAAACCATTATAACTTATTAATAACTATAACAAAAATGTTATATGTATATATATATATATATAATGTTATAGAACACATGATTCTCTGTTCGATGGGAATTCTTATTTTTTCTTAAAAATAAAACATATTAATACTATTTTATAATACTTGGAATTTTCAAGATTTAAAATTTACACTTAAATGAAAATAATAATTAGGGCCCTTRGTGTTTTGGGTGAAGAGTCCAAGGGTGCCCAGGCACCCTCTGCACCTCTCGTGCGCACGCCTATGTGTTATCTAAAATAACTACCCATGAATAAGAATTAAAAAGTTCTACGGGATGAGGTCTAGGAACTCCCAACATACAGATGGATTAATTTCAAATTCTGAATCAACCATAATATGCACTCAAGTATGATATACACAATTTAAAATCTTTATCGCCGAAAATCCAAAAACCRCGAGAGATTGATTATGTATGAAACAAAATGATACATCGAAGGACCTTTAAAAGAAGTGCGCGATGCTTGTGACGAGAGTGCGATACGCTGTATTTAACACTTCTATCTCWCTGAACATAACCAAACTACAGTTATTTTAATAGTAATGAAATGTTAACAACTATTAAAATATTTTATGTGTTTAATGATGCACATACTTCTGCAACTCTTCTCCAATGTAATTCTAACAAAACCCTATAAGACCTAAAAAACTAAATTGGTTCTCGGTTTCAGAGAACATTCATTACTAAATACAAATTACATTTTTCTAAATTTTAAAATATGTTAATTTTTTTAAACTTTTATATTTCACATAATGTACATAGTACATACTTGATGAGCTCTATTTAACAAGCTATCAACCAACTAACCAGTCCCTATAGTGTAAGTGAAAAATGGAGATTTATGGACTGAATACAATGTTTTTCTGGATTAAAACAATTATATATGATTTGGATGCTACTGTAGTACTGTCTTATTTACTATCACAGTACACAGTTAATATCACATGCAGACACATTATGCGAATATATATATATATATTTATATGAAGTTATTAGATTGAATTATTTTCCATATCATTTATTATGTGCCTGATAAAAAAATTGTTTATTGTGAGAAGCAAAGTTCAGGAGACGGCCAAGACAAGGGTGCAGGAATATTTCTAAATTTGCTGTGTTAAGTCTGCTACTGACTTTAAATATATGTCTTTAATAGTTTAGATTTTAGATACTACTGAGAGTAGTAARGAATTTGGATATTTTTCTCAGACTAGTTATTTAACTCAGTGACACCTAATYACTGACAAATAATGTAAAAATAAATACTTTATTAACCATTATGAATATTATGGCAAGTAAAAAATAATTACATACTTTTACAATAAGACMTTCTTAATTTTAAAAATCCTATTCACAACGATCATAGTTTATTTAGCTTTGATTTAAAATCAATATTTACTTGAATTGATAACTGTATAAAATACTCAAATGTTTAGTTATAAAATAATCATCAAGTTAAAAGCTTTTTACAATAAAAAACAGAATTTTCTTAAAAACAATACACTAAATAAAATTAAAATGCTCTTATATTAAACAAATATGTACATGAAATGAAAGAAAACTAAATTACTTTTTCTTTGTTTTGAGTACCGATCCAGATCCCGCAAACGRCTTAAATTCATCTTGATTTTCATGCTGTAATCCCAAATATGAATACACGTTTAGACTTTAATTTTTTGTTTATACATATTTTCTACAATATATCAAATAGTTAATTGATTTATTTGATTGATAAGAAATATAGATTACAAGTAATAAGTAACATATTGAGATAGATATAGTAATTATTACCACTTTGTCATCAATTACTGGACGGATATTCCTTAAGAACTGTATAGTTCCTAAGGTATAATTATAATCTGGAATACCTCTTTGGTATGCTACTTTAACTTGATTCAGCGGATCTTCAGTATTTTCTTTCTTTTTTTTACCATCTAATCTATTGCCTGAACCTTTGAACGCTATAAAACCAGCTGGTTCTGGCATTAAATCAGCAGGATCAACCATCATCTCTTCTGTAGCTGGTTTTTTTTCATGCTTAGGCTCTTGATAACCAACTGGTGCAGCAAACTCAACATTCATATCACATTCAATGATACTAACAGCATTACCCGGTTTKGTTTCCAACACACACATTTCATATACTTTTTGGTTGTATTTTATAGCTATTAAATCACCAGTAGTCAGACAAGCAAAATTACGCAAGCAATTTTCTAAAACAGCCTTTGGGTTGGTAATATCTAAGAATTCAGAACTTTGAGGTTGAAACTTTGAAAATGTGGCTACTTCTAATGAAACACTTTCAACTTGCACCATGTCTCCTTCATCTAGTAACAGGTTTTTCATCATCTAAATAAAATACAGTTAGCGTATCACATGAGAGTTACAATAACTATAAAACAGATCATGTTAGAATTTCAAACAAATTATCACCTTTTAAAAATTAAAACTGTATGATATGAAAAAAATGTCTTATAAATAAAGGTGGTGCTAGTGTAGCGTGCGATCTACCGCTTACGTGTGCACAATCGAAAAGCACATTAAATTATTATCGACTATCGGAGACGAAATATAACATTTTTGTTGTTAACGATAAAGAACTGGATAGTAGGTAGATCACAGGCAGAGCACACGTAAATGGTAGATCGCGCGCTACACTAGCACCATAAAGGTAATCACAACTTGAAACAACTCTTAATGCTCATATAGAATTTTTWATAAATATTCTATATTATAACTACTCGTTTCTAAATATAGTTATTTCAAATTATAATTAATAATTTATTTACTTATTCTCTATATAATAGATATTTAGTGATATTAAATAAATTAAATTAAACATAAATAATAAGGTTTTATGWATTTTTCAAAGGATTAAGWACCTTTGTTAATTAGATTTTTAAAMATTTAGATTTAGTTTTAACCTGCATATTGAAATAATAAAAAATTTAAGATTTTGTCATGTCCTTATGTRTAGATTTAATATGCATTTATAGAGAATAAGATTGCCGGATTTAAAATAGATTTATGATTATAATAACATGAGATAAATCAATACCCAATAAGGAATGTACACTTTTCCTTCATCTGCGATAAACTCCAAAACACCRCAGTGTGTTTGTCTGTTGCTTTTTTTGTTAGATAACTTGAACAACATTGGATAGTTGATATTTAATCGAGTCAATGTGTCAAGAGCAGATGGAGGCATTATAACTGAAATAATAGTGTTGAGCAAAAATAATACATATTACACAAATTGAAAAATGGAATAAATTTTATTACTTTTTCCACCACTATCAACGTCTTCTCGTTCGCTGCCAGGAAGCATTGATACAGACCAACATCTATATGTAGTGTTGAACGGTCGGAGCATATCATTGAATAAATTCAGGGAAAACTGAAATATATTAACATTAGTTCAAATGAGTTCTGACTATGGCGAAAAGTTAGCAGCTTCCTTACCATTGTGTTATCAAAGGTGAAGCTTATGGAAGTATTGTAACTGATTTCCAGCCGTGAGTATGAGACTTGAGTACAGACTGTAGAGCAGTCATTAATTATTAATGTACTTAATTAGTAAAATAAAATATGTACAAGTATAAGTAGGAAAATATAAAACAAATGTTATTCAATAACATTTATCAATTTACACAATAGCAAGGTAGTTATAATATTATAACTATCTTGCTACCATATTGTATTATAACTACCTTGAGAATGACGAATGCGATTGAAGATTTGAAGATACTAAAAATTTAAAATTATAATGCCATGTCACGGAATTATTAATAATATCAAAAAAAATAGTTATTATGGCATCAATGCATCATAGACATTATTTTTATTATCATATCCATGATATCATGCATGGCACCACCAGAGACTGAATCACAGAATATAAGAGGAAGGACGCTGAACGGCTGAACTGTGCATATAAGAGTGGTCTGGAATTATCACATTCCGCCAGAATGCGTGTCAGACCATAGTGATCATAGATAATAAATCATTTATTATCTATAATTATGGTAGTGAATCACTAAATTCAACTCATTTTACCGAGTCGAATCCATAGAATAATATATATAATATAATACTCTATGGTCGAATCATTCAACTCAGCTCAGTTTAATGAGTCGACTCCTCGACTCTCAACTCTTTCAATCTTAGATCATATACAATGGATACTGGATAGAGCCATACGAACTATTTGTGAAGCCAACATCACTGTAGGACCTCGCCGAGGGCGACCCGTTTTGCCTCCCCCTAACGCCGGCCCTGATTAAATAATTTATTTTACATTTTAATGCTAAAACATTCAAACATTTCAAACTTGGTAAAATTACTAAGTATTGTAGGTACAAATATCGTATTGTGGTAATCAATGTTCAGCGGTAATATTGATATGATATATTTAATTGATAACGTATGCCACGCCCTCCCGGAGACCGTGTTCAAGGCCACAGTCACCCGATTTTTCCAATTCACAGAGTGTCGTACCCCGCACCCCTGATAGAAGCACAGAAGTCTGTGGATATAACACAATTTAAGATATATATATCTATATCTTAAATCGTGGTATATAATACTCTTATACATATGTATATGATCTAAGATAATACTGTTCTATGATAATACCGTGATAAGTCATGAGTGATGTGGTTTTAAATAATAACCACGAACGTGGTCGTTACCATGGTATAAGTGTGATAAGGAAATGGATCACACGAACAATTTTTCCTGTGAAGAACGGTTCAAACATTTTATATTCTCCCTTGCCACGTTTGTTGATAACGTAAGCGGCGATAAACAAACGATTATCACGTGTTTCCTCTATAGATCTTCAGTCAGACTTCTTTAAACGGAATTTAAATCGTCACATGTATAAATTTACGTGTAGTGTGTAGTGCTCGAATTAATTGCTATTGACTTGGAAATGAAATCGTGTTAATTGTTGTGTTTGAACTGTTTTAACCATGGCCAGTAAATCGGTTCTGGATCTTTTCTCAAAAGTCGTTAAAGCGCCACACAATAGCCAACCGAAACTATGCATGCAACTGGTGAAACATTTGCAGCTATTCAGTAACGAATCTGTAAGAAATGATTGTTGATTAATATTTAGTTAAAATCGCTAAGTGTACATAATTTCTTTTTACAGTTGGACGAACAGCGGCAAAAAGAAGTATTTTATGTGTTAACAAGATTGGTTCGTGGATTAGGATCACCAAAGACCCAAGTCAGAGTCGTTTACTATTCTATTTTGGTGGTTATTGTGAGCCATTTGACAGACAAGCCATGGTTCAATCTGGACAATTTCAAAAATGTTGTAGATAARGAGTTGACTAAATTTGATTCAAAAGCAGTGAGTAACTGTTTCAATATTTCTAGTTTTGTTAAGAAAATACTTTTAATTTAAAATAGATATCTAGATAGTCATTAATTTCTTGGCTATTCAATTAAAAAGTTACAACTAGATAAAACACAATATTGTAAGGAATATTAATGTTTAAATATTTACTTCTAATCAACTTTTCCTATGTTTGCTATCAAAAGCTTTTAGTTTTATTTATGATTACCTGACTGTAATTTTTACTCAATGTATAAGATATTTGATTGGGATTCAATATCAAGTAAGTTTCGAATTAACATTTCATTTTACAGGAAGAGGGCGATGTTTTGTCTGGTAAAGTGTTATGTTATGGTGCTATGATACGTAGTGGAATATTTAGTGCTGGAGCTATGGATACTCAAAAAGCTATTGTCGCTGAACTTTTAACTAATATGAAAACAAGATCTTATTTACCCCTATTGACGTACAAGTTTTTAACTGAAGGAATTGATTCAGTAAGTGATTTTTATTTTTATTTTTTCAATAGTGGTTTGTAATTGTTAATTATACATTGTTATGTGCTTTAGTCCAATAATATTATGTTTTCGGAAATTATTTGGCCTTATTTAAAAAAGTACATTGGATTGCCTATTACAAAACAAACTTTAGATTCATTATATTGCATAATAAAAGTGCATAGTCGGTATCCAAAATTAATTGATGGTGTATTTATTCCAAGAGTGTTGGAGACTGGAACTGAACTCTTATGTACTGAGTCAATGAATGACATTGCAAAGATATTAATATTTGTAAGAATTTTTACTTTTTGAACATACCTAGTTTAAGAATGTTTTTACTAATTACATTGYATGTATATCTAGCACATTTCCTCTGTGGAAGTACTTGAGCACCCTGTGTATGAAGCCTTTTCTATTGCAATAACGTCTACGAGCAATAGCGATTCACTTATTTCATCATTTTGGGGTGTTCTTCAGCCACATTTCACAGGCCCGCATAATCGCTATCAACAAATGGCAGCTATGAAACTGTGTACATATATCATTAAAAATAGTTCTCTAAATAGTGTACATTCATTACTTTCTAATTGGTTTTTGGATATGTTACTAAAATCATTTACTCGTCCAAATGCTGATGCACTTGTATATCATTCTCGTGTAAGCATTTCAGCTGTAATGGACAGATTGGGCTCATCTGCAACACCCAATATTGCTTATAAAGTCTTATTGAAATTCATTCTACCTCCTGGGGATATGATGGTTGAAAAAATAACAGGTATTTTATTTTATCATGTTTAATCCTCTAAGTATTTACATAACCATAATTTTCTAGGTATTAAAATTGTTCAAAATTGTCTGATAAAAATGGATGAACAGCACATTAAACTTTTGGCTAAACAATGTCATCAAGTTATACTTATGAAAAAAAAAGAAAACAATGAAAAGGCACATTTCTGGAAAATTCAAGACCGTGGATATGCAGCTCAACTTCTTGCTAGGTACCTATACATGTTTTAAAAACCATTATTTTATTATTTATATGTTTGTCATTTTTTAGACTTTTAGGGCTTCAAATTAGTACTGATGTTATGTGGAAAATAGAACAATTAAAATTTATGTTAGAACACGCCTTTTTCACAAATGCGACTGAAAAATATCATATAAGCCATGAATTAGCTGGCAAGTTTCTTATTTATCTTACATAATTAATTATTAGTGGTTATAACCAAATTTTACTCAATACAATATATTTTTGTAGCGATCATTAGAGATTCTTTTTTAAAAGCACTCAGTCACAAACAACCGAATATGGAAACACTTCGGACAACTTTGTCTACACTTGTTCATTATACTGATGAATTATTGAAAGACAACCGTCAACTTCGACCTAAAACTTCAAAAGATGTATGTACTTACAGATATAAATATTTAAGAGAATTTCATTGCACTATTTTTCCCTGGCCTATTTACAATTAGTAAAGTTTCATCCAGCAGTACCAATTTTTAGTAGTTAGCTTTAATATTAAATTGAATGAATTGACCTGTGATAAAAMTTAATGATATTAGAAACATTATTGGTGTTGGATTTTTAAATTTTTTTCTATTCTTATAATAGTATTTAAAATATTTCATATATCTGAAAATATTAATAAAGTTAATTTACGAACACACATATGTTTTTAACTTTAAGTTTAGTATAATAGATCATTTCATTTCAGTATTAAGCCTACAATCTCAAGAAAAGTTGATTTATTTATACACGGTTTTGTTTGTCGTATAATAGGATATGAAYAGTTGGAAAAAAATGATTAAAACCACCAAAGACATAGAAAAAAAATTAAAGAAATGTGAAACAAAATCTAAAGAGCAGTCAATTCTTTTTGTTTTTCACACTTTGTTCTTGCAACTGGGAATTTATTTATTTGTTGAACCATCAGTAGCCATTGACACATTACAAGTAAGGCATCATTGAGCATTTTAATGTTTTAGTATACTAAGTTATTCTGAAAACATTGTTAATATTTTTAATATTTTCAGGAATTACAAAACTGTTATGAACACCATACAAATAATAATAGAAATGAAGAAAAAGATGAACTTCATTGGGTSGAAGTTGTAGTGGAACTGATGTTGTCATTATTAGCTAGAGAGTCTTATTTATTAAGGCAATTGATTTCCCGTGTATTTTCACATTTATGTTCAGAATTAACACCTCAGGCATCTCATCAAATTTTACAAGTATGTTGTTCATCATTAGCCATGTTTTTGAATATATCAACTTCACATTTTGTGTAAAGGTTTTAAATCCTCAATATGATACTGCATCAAATTCAATGGATGATAGTGATGAAGAGTCTGAAAGTGACAAAGAAGATGATGATAATGATGATGTGGAATATGAAGATAATCAAACAAAACTTAATGGCAACGGAATCAATGGTCATTGTTTAGATAATGAAGACGATGAAGAAACTGATGGCTCAGAAATTGATGAACAATCAAGTGATGACGATCAAGATAATACTGAACAGTTAAAATTGGCTTTACACAAAGCAATGATGTCTGCCAATCAGCATTCAGATGATGTAATTATATTATTTAAACATCAATGATCATTAATTAAAATATCAAATATTTTTAGGAATCTGTTGATATTGACGATATGACTGAAGAAGATGGTAAAATAATGGATGATTTACTATCAGAAGCCTTTAAAAGCTTTAGGAAAAATTCAAATAAAAACCCTAAACWTATCAAAGAGAAGATTAATTTTAGATTGAGGTATTTATTTCAAAAGTCCAATAGAATTTCACTTTAAACACTTAACATTTATAGGGTTATGGATTTAGTGGATATATATTTGGATAATAATCCATCTTTATGTCTCATACTGGATACTATTCCAACATTATTTGCATTATTGGAATATTGCATCAAGGATATTCAACAACGACCTCTAGAGACTCGAGTTCGATCAGCGTTAAAAAAAATTAGTCAAATCAAAAAAATCAATGACACAGAAACTGTTGATGATGAATTAATCTCAATGGTTTTAAAAGTCTTAATGGATAAAGGTGTACGAAGTATGTATATAATATGAGAATCTCAAAATCCATGAATGAAATATTAAAAGCACCGATTTGTATTTTCATTAGCTACACCTGTTTTTTTGGATATAAGTACACATATAACACAGTGCTGCACATTTCTTGTAAAATCATATGTCCACATAATTTCTGGGTTGCCAACAAAAAAACAAAAATCGTCTAAAGTCATAAACATTTTGGAGGATTCGCTTAAAGATTTCTTCACTAAAAGGTAATTCACTAAAAATATTATTRGGCAGTGGCGGCTCGTGTGCTCTGAAAGTGGGAGGGCGATACAAAATTGCTTATTTATGGAAAGTATTGAACACAAATAATATTAATAATTATTATTTATTTTAATCAGTTTAATACATATAAATTATTATAATTCTAAATTGTCAACATTTTTTTATAGATAGAATTGATTAGAGTTACGACCGCACAAAGTAAATAATAAATATGCAAGTTCGGAAATTGGACTCCGTGCWTAATGGCCAACGGGTGATTAAAATCATAGCCCCAGCGGCAGTATTATTATTGTGTTCCCCCTTATTTTTTGTATTCCAACCATAGTAATGGTGAGCGACTCCCGACATCGCCCAAGCATCGCATGTGCTACTCGCCGGTCCTGGCAAATTGTTATTGGTTATCGATTTTCAGAARCTACAGCGTCGAATCATTTATTTTTAGACCTCCATTATCTGATAATGTTTTCATAATATGTATTAGTGTAAATGTAGGAAACACAATTTTTATTTTTGACAATATACTAAAATATAAATGAGAAATTTAATATTTAACTTATAAATTAGTAATGAATGATAATTTTAGAAGGGAGGGGCAATCGCCCCTCCACCTCAATCTACGAGCCACCACTGTGGTTGGGATTGAAGTTAATTAATTTATGTTTTATAATTTAAACAGAGACTGTTTGTTACCTGCATCTTTATTCGAGTCATTGCTGTCTAAAGTCTTATGGAAACGTAACATTAATTTAATTGAATGTATTCTGCCATATGCCTTTAACGACTCTGTTAGATGGTTTAGACGATCACAAGCTGTATGTATGTTAGTATCATTTTATCAAAACACAAGACTCTTGGAACAATTAAAGGATGGCACTCAACTTGATGAGATAGAAAAGAAATTGTCTGACCATGTTATTAAAGTATGATTCATTAATTATAATATGACTAATTATGTTTTTGATAAAAAAAAAATCCCAATTTTAGTTCTTCACTTTATTGGATGACAGTCAACCAGATGTGTCTGGACGCCAGAGGTACATAAATGAATTGTTGAATATTTTGTGCATAATTAGTGGTAACAAATTCTCACATCATTGTTGCGATTGGAATCAACTCACACAACTCTTAGAAAGCTCTACAAGCAGATTCAATCAAGTGGGCCGTAAGAACTGGAATAAACTTCAACAGGCTATTCAAAAAATTAATACTGCTAAGATTAAGTAATTTTATAAATACAATTTTTGTATTAAATTAGTTTGTCAGTTCACCATAAGAAATATTTTTTTCTACATTTCAGTGTTAAAAATAACCACTTGGATGACAATTTCTGCCCGAAGACACCTGCTGGAAAAACATCTGTTAAAAGAAAATCATTAGTTGTGTCAAACAAAAAAATTAAAAAAATTAAAAATGTCAGCGATTAAAACAAGAAAAAACTGTTATTTATTCTTAAATTTATACATTTAAAAAAAAATAACCTGTCTTACTTGACTTTTTTTAGGAAATTATGTTATTTTGTTGAAAACGTTTAGCTGTTGAATGTTATTGCAATAATAACTACTCTTGATTACTTCTCAAAAAACCACATGATTTTAAAATGTGTTCAAGACAATCGATGACATAATTCTCAATAAATGTGAATAGAGTTATAATATATCAGCTGTTTTGAAACAATAACAATAGTTGGTCAAYCCTGTTTAGAAAACTGTTTCAGAATGTTCTTTTTCACAGTATGGGAAATTAATTATTTTAGTATTCTGGTATCATTTGTTTGTTCATATTGTGCACAGTRTACTGAAATGATTAATATATTATTTAAAAATTACTAACTTTATGTACTGTATTATATTTGATAGTAATGTACATTTTTTATTTTTATCTAACAATGTGTCAATTTTATACTAAAAAGAAAATACACTAGAATTGTTATTTTTTAAACTACTGTGATCTGTTTTTACTTTAGTGTAGATCAGTGTTACTTGCACTAAAYATTGTTAACAATCAAATTTGGGTTACAATGATATCTACTTTTAAGTCTTTAATGATAAACAGCATTGATAAAAGCACTATAAAAATAGTTTTGACAATTTTATATTAATTTAACTTTTACCAGGCAGTTGTCGGAACATTTTTTTTTTTTTGCCATTTCAAAAGTTTCAGAATAAATAAACAAATTTAAATGTGTTGGAAGGAAATTAGTAATAATTTATAACTTATAAATAGGGCTTGGATTTTAGTATTCAAAAAAGTGTTTGTGATCTAAAAACTAAAAAAAATTCCTAGGAATTTACCACAGTTTTCTTCAGAAATTTATTTAAAACCCAGATTACCATATGTGTTGTTTTAGAATAATATTTCATGTAATATGAAATTATATTCAATTGCAATAGGGCATTTATTTGATTTTCAGTCACCAACGTCAAATGGGAACCAAACAAAAATATTCGTTTCTCGTGAGCTCCTCTTTAAAATGCAATATTGGGAGAATTGGTTTCTCGTTGTTCAATGTAAGCACATTCTCGGACGTAAGCATTAGTCATGTGCCCATGTACCAATTCTCAGATTCACGAGTACTCCTTCCACTAMCTTTTGAAAAGAATTTTCTTGGCTGTAGATCGTTAACAGACGGGCACACTCTCACTCTTTCAAAACCGCCCCCCAGTACTATGGATGGAGCCATGGCCTGATATTTGAAGCACATATTATAAGCGACAAGTCTCTCCTTGAGATTCATTATCTGCGCATGCGAGAGTTTACTCGTAGCATATTTATTCTAATGTTTTTAAGAGGACGTTTCACCCGCATGTGTTGTCTCCGTCTTACAAGTGCGTAACATTGCAAAAACTGTTTTGCGCGGGAAAGAACCGAGAAAGA